ACAGAGGCTTATTTATGCGCGCATGCCGGCGTTAAATTGGATAATGGAAATTGGATTCGAGCCGAGGTTTTCTTTTCTGGCCAAAACGAAAACGCCCCTGCTGGAGGCCGCGTTTATAACTGAAACTTTGTGCGGCCAAGTCGATGGCACTTGACTTGATTGCGGGCCCACAAGGGCAAGGTCGTGAGGCGACGGCGACACGTGTGGCACGACACCTGTTGAGGTGGGAGATACTGGGGAAAATTTAGGGAAATTCGGGGGGAATGGGTCCGGGCCATCTGCTGCTCGCTACCATCGCCTTATTAATATTAATGAGCATATGGTTGGGGGCCAAATGCCAACCGGCAAAGCAAAAGCAAACTTCCCCTCCACAGACACCCTGAAACTCATCGATGGCTGCCAACGTCATTTACGATGTGCGAAAATAAATATTTAATTATTTATAAATCATGACCCGCCCAAACGACAATGACGTAGCACCCGGAATCAGGAATCCAGAATCCACAGAATCCAGGTGAGAACGTGAGCGCCGCCGCACGGATGAGCACATACGGACACTTTAGCCGGAATCCAGTAGAACGCGGGGCCAAAGTGTAAATACATAAATTATGGCAACACATTTCGCAGGGCTTCACCTATGTATGTGCAAATCATTTATTGAGAGCTTAGGATGGGGGAACGAGCCAATAATTCGTGGGAGAAAAAGCAAGGAAAAAGTATGAAAACTCAGAAGGTTGACATTGTGAAAAAGTAAATAGTTAAAGACGATTAAGTTTAATTAGGTTAACCATTATCCTAATTAAACTTAAGCTTCAAAATAAAATGTAGCTTAAAGGACTTAATTACAAAAATATAAATAAATTAAAGTCATATTAATTGGCTAACTATAAACGTTTTGGAGCTAGGATAGTTAAGTAAGATCCAAATAAAATGTAGAATTTAGATACACGACTCAAGGATAGAAAATAACTATTTTGACCTTTCTAAAATGCTTTTTTAATGTTTCAAAATGTGTACATTTGAATGAAACTAAGATCATTGGTTATATTTATTATCGACAAAATGAACCTCTTCATAAACCTACGTTAAAAACTAATCACACTAATGAAAGCATCACAAGTTTGATTGGCTATTCCTGATGAATTTGGGACTCAGTTTGAAAAAGGTAATTAAACTGATAACCAATTACCCTCATGCGCAATTCATAAAATCATTTCCAATTTAATTCCGTCTCTTGATTGGATGCACCCAATCACATTCAACCGTGAAATTCAATCCCGATAGAAGCTTACTAAACATTAGTCGGCCAATCGGCCTAATTCAACCATTTGCAAATGGATATATGATTGGAAAGTCATCCCAATTCACCAGGGATGATGGATGGGAAAAGGTGAGCTATTTTTGTGCATTTACCAATTAACTTGGTTGACATAAGCCGATTTGGCGTTTATTTGTGGTCCAAGAGGCGCACAACAGATCGAATGTAATTTTTAATTAAGCAAATGGCTTCCACACTCGGAAATCAAAAGAGCGTGTGTCGGTTTTTCCGGCATTAAGTCATGAAATTAGGCGCTGAAGTTTGGAAAAACAAATCATCAGAGCGAAAAGTTAAAAAGCTTGAGGAGAAGAGGACACCTGAGTGGAACTTATCCATGCACTTCACGAGTGAAGTTAAAATTTATGCCATAGACGACTAGAACAAAGCTGGGCAAAAAGATGCGGAGGATAGGAATACGGATCGGGTGGGAAACTCTATGCATGACAATGACTTTGGCCAATGAGTGAGAAAGATAACAGGCAAAAGTTTTTCCTCCGTGCTCAGGTGGAACAAAGGCGCTGAAAACAAAAGATATTTTTCACGCGAAAAAAGAAATTTCATTTGGTCCTCCAATTCAATTTTCCTTAAATTTAACAAAGTTTTACAAAGCAGCATCAAATTTGAATAAAAATGTAAATTGACTAGATCCGGCCGAGAGATTAACCCAAGTTCAACCTTTAAGGTTAAGTGCTTCGATTGGTCTTCGAAGCCTAGATTAAAATAAAGCTATTAAATTTCAATCTCAGATGCCCCACAAAGTGGGCTAAGAACTTTAGGGGCTATCTAAGAATTACAAAGCCTAATTATCGAAAAAGAGTGTCATAAACTAATTCATTTTAATTTGTAAACATTAAGGTATACACCGCTTGTTTAGTATATCTTAAATGAATGTGACTCTAAGCAGATCAAGATATTTGTTATATAATAGTATTTGTTGACTAATAAGGACTGGATCTAGGATCTTGCAATGCTATAAATACATTTTAAAAATATTTTACTTGTATTGAATACCCATTGTCAACGATGTTTTGTCGGATAAATTATTAGTTTTACCGGCTCCCATATTGTCCCATTCTCCCTGTTGCATTTTGATTGCACCGAATTTACCAAGGACGACAGTGTGATATTGCCTCATTAGGACCACACACAAGAACAGTGGCCCCTGCTGCCAATTACAGTTTCATCAGTCACTTGGTCATAACGCAGCCTTCCCTTTTGGCCAGGCCTGGAAAGAGCCGAAAACACATATCTTCTGCTCCACTGGCCAGATCAATCGGTAGTCAAGCGTTTTATGGCCTTTGTGTGCGGGTGTGGAAAGCGCTGGTGGGGGAGGGGGGCTTGGACTTTGTTGAGCTTGATGCCATCATCGTCAATGGCAACATGTTTAGCAATTGATTGCTAACCTTGTTTGTCCCGGCCAGAAGCTGAATGGGGACCGAACAGGACCTGAGAGGAGAACACGGACGCTGTCAGAGAATCTTCTCATCTGACCACAGCCATAATTATCGGGATATCTGTCTGGCTAATCAAGGTGTGGAGCGAACAAGAGAGTACGCTTGGAGAAATAACTTCATCGGGTGGTTTGTATTCTGGGAAGTACTCAACTCTAATATTAAGCATTATCCATTTGGTTTTTTCAACAGCTTTGCCTTAAAATGTCCTCATAAAAATTACAATAATATAACACAAATAATTGAAGTTTTATAGTTGTCAAATAATTTAATTTAATGCCATTGTTCTGCAATTTCAATTATGAGCTTTCCAAATATTGATTTTGTCACTTTATGATAATTACATAAATTATTTGATTGTATACTTTATCCTATATTCCAATTGAAGGACTTTTCAATTTAATAAACGTGAATTATAAGGTAACTTTATTTTCCCTTTTATTATGGTTGTTACTATTTAATTGTCTATTTTATTTTAATAGGCTTTTCTCCCGGTGTGGCAATTATGATGTGGCCGGCATCGAAGCAGCTGCATTCCAGCTAATTGAGGGGCCTAATGCAGGGGGTTAAACTTTAACCCGATCGGGTCGCAAAGTCGTTAGGCCCAGCTGTTGTTGACCCACTTAATTCCGGATAGAGAAGCGCTCATAAATTCCGTGGCGATTCACGCAGTTTATCTAACTAGGATTACGCCAATTAATTAATCAGGGAAATTCTATCGGCCTTGGGTTTTGCGACCAATGGTGGGCGGACTTCTGCCCCCTGAGGCTATTTCCTTTCACTTGGCCTTGGCTTGTTGTTCTGTCGGTTTTTTGGTCAACGAACAACTTGGTTTCGCTTCTTATTGGCCTGTTTTTGGCCAATGTCTGCTAAAGTTTTGGCCTGGCTACTAACCGACAAGTTTGCGACCTTCGTGGAGCTCCTTAGTATATATGTCTTGTGGCTTTTTTCTGGGGCAAAGTTTTCGTGTTCCACGCCATATGGACGACGTTTTACTTCAACGCTTATGTTTATTCATTTTCAACTTAGTCTGGGGTTCCCAAGAAACCTCAAAACAAATTGCTTATTAATTATTGTCCAAAGTTTCCGCAAGAAACTTAAATACCAAACGTTTTATAATGGCTTTTTAGCAAAAGTTACTATTTAATTTGCAAATTAGCAAAAGATGAAGAGACATTTTTGGACTGAGTTATTTTATAGTTTATTTTCAAATAAGATTTAGGAACAGTCATATTGTTTATATACCTGACAAGATTTATAATTACTTAAGGGAAACTAAATTAAAGTAACTGCATTAGAAATGCAGTCTTTGCCAGAAGTGCAATACTTTTTTGACTGATTGTTCTTGGAACTTGTCAGACATTTCTCAATATTGCGGTCTCAGTGCCATCAAACTGTTGACTCATTTCGAATTCTATTTAATTATTTTTCTGGTCCTGGCACAAAGAATAAGTTCTCTCCTTTGGTCTCTCGTTATGGGAAAGTTAATTGCTTGTAGTTGTTGGCGTTGCTGTCATGTATTTTTGTTGTGCTGCTTTCCTTCGCGCTGGCTTTTCCTTTATTTTTCCTTCGCCTTTCATTTTTCACCCCACCAGATAGCGAATCATTTTTTTTTCGCACGCCGCTCAGTGTGAAGAAGGCAAACAAGCAAACGAGCAGAATTTCATATAGTTGATTGCATTGTCTGCAGGAAGATGTTCACACGATGATGCAGGAGAAGGCAAAGGACCCGGGGGCGGATGGGAGGTGGGGGCGTGGCAGGGGATAGTTTCATGAAATGCTGATAGCATGCGCTCAATATTGTCAGTAAATAATACGCGCTTGTTAGAGTGAGCTCCAGACAAACATAAATTTACACCGAGAAAAAAACATAAGGCTTAAGAAAAAGTATACAGCTTATGTTTTCTTTTTGGAGTAGTAAAATAGTAGATATAAATATAAATTATTGTAAGCCAACCAATAAGGGAGACAACAGTTCTTATAGAAGTTACATTCTCATTTTTTAAAAGTTTTCATATAAACAGAATTTTGTTTTATCGAGAAAGGTTATTAAAATGAGATTGATTTGGTATAAATAAAAGAGTATGGAAACTTCGATGTATTTTTAAATAAAAAGTATGTTCTATTTTTTTGCAGTCCTCCAATTAACAATTAATAATGACGATGCTAAAACCCTTTGGCCGTAACTAATCAATCTCGCATATCGCGCTTTTTTTCTCCCCCTTTTGCAGAAACCTCATCATGCCGCATGTGACGTCACAGGCATAAAGTATGGAAAGCATATCACAATATTTGCCATTTAGCTGGTTTAGCGGGCATCGTCAAATAGGCAGCCGACCGCAACCGGCAAATTAGCAGGCAGTTACACCAACGTAACCGAATCGAAAATGGGAGGAGAGGGAGGATGGTGGCGCGGAGGAGGAGAAGGACGAGGAGTGGTGGGCAGGAAGGCCAACATAAAGGGACACTCGACACCGAACCGCAGGAACAGCAGCACCAACGCGACCAAGGGCAGTGTCCATTCTGGCATTCTGTTATTTGTGCTGACAGCGCTGACACTAACGAGCTTAATAGCGCCCACAGAGCAGCTGACAGTGGCCCCAAATGGAACCACTCTGCAGCAAGAGCAGCAGCTGGAGTCCGTGGAATCCGTATCATCCAATCCACCGTTGGCTGCCGACGACTACAGCTACAGGCCCATGAATGGCAGTCTGAATGGAACGACAATGGCGCCCAACTCGCGGCCTCGCCAGAACCACAAACAGCGATTGCCAAAGGGCAATGGCAGCTACTATTCGGAGTACGATGAGGATGTGCGTCCGGACTGCTCCCGCAAATACAACTTCATCCTGAAGCTCATCACGATGATACTGTATGCCCTGGTGTGCATCATCGGGTTGTTTGGTAACACGCTGGTGATCTATGTGGTGATGCGGTTTTCCAAAATGCAAACGGTTACCAATATATACATCCTGAACCTGGCAATCGCTGATGAGTGCTTCCTGATCGGGATTCCCTTCCTGCTGTACACCATTCAGGTGGGCAACTGGCCCTTCGGCGACTATATGTGCAAGGCCTACATGGTGAGCACCTCGATCACCTCGTTCACCTCGTCGATCTTCCTGCTGATCATGTCGGCGGATCGCTATATAGCAGTGTGCCATCCCATATCCTCGCCCCGCTATCGAACGCCCTTCGTGTCCAAGTTGGTTTCGGCCGTCGCCTGGATGACATCCGTGCTGCTGATGCTGCCGGTCATCCTCTTCGCCAGCACCGTCCAGTCGAGCCAGGGCAATGTGTCCTGCAACATCGAGTGGCCGGACAGCCAGAACTCCGATACCGACTCCACCTTTATACTATACTCCTTCGTCCTGGGCTTCGCCACTCCGCTGACCTTCATCCTGGTCTTCTACTGCCTGGTGATCCGCAAGCTGCACACGGTGGGACCCAAGCACAAGTCCAAGGAGAAGAAGCGATCGCACCGGAAGGTCACCAAACTGGTGCTCACGGTAATCACGATATTTTTTTAAATCACCTAAAACCATCAAATCTAAAATTAAGTGCTTCTATATACCAATTTGAATAGATTATTTTATAAATTGTCTGATGAATAATAAGTTGTCCTTAAATAGTAAAAAGGTTATTGGTAAAGATTATTTTAAATACCTTTAAAACTTAATGTCTTTTAACCTGACAAATTTGTGTTATAGTTTTCTTTGCAAATGTATATAAAGAACCAATTCATATTTACATTTATAAATATTTATTCTATATTCTTGGTATTGAAACGTGCACTTGCTGATTGTATTTCTTTTCATTTCAAAGGTAATAAGTGCGTACATATTTTGTTGGCTTCCACACTGGATTTCTCAGGTAATTAATTATAATCAGTTACAGTGTACTTAAAAATGGCTTTTCCCCAATGATTTTCGATGTCTGACTTCTAAACATTATATATAGAAAAGAGGCTATCAGTTATTTGTTTTCTTTAAATCCTTTCGCAGGTGGCTCTGATCAGCTCGACCCCGCACCCGTGTGCATCTCCCCTGGAGCTGGCCGTCTTCCTGACCTGCGGATGCCTGAGCTACTCGAACTCGGCCATGAACCCCATCCTGTACGCCTTCCTCAGCGACAACTTCAAGAAGAGCTTCATGAAGGCCTGCACTTGTGCGGCGCGCAAGGATGTGAATGCCCAGCTGCAGTTGGAGAACAGTTTCTTTCCCAAGTTCGGCAAGGGTAGGCAATCGGAGCGCCTTTTGGGGGGCGGTGGAAAGGGTGGCGCCCAACGTGGGGCCTTGGCCAAGAAGAAGGCCTTGGCGGTGGCCAGGAACAACAATGCCCTGATGGGCACCGCAACCACGACGACAACGACCACCACGGCGGGCACGGATGCGGTGACCTGTCTTCAGCCTATCCAACCTGTTCCGGCCGAAATCCAGGTGGGCAATCCGGCCACTGTGCTGGTGGTCAATGCCGAGACCAACAACTGTAAGCCACCAGTGCTCCACACGGACTTATAAGACCGGGCTCCCTCGATGCCCCTGGAAACGGTGGTGTTCATCGCCCGGAGGTGAGATCCCCAGAAGGAACTGGAGCTGGACTTGGTCCTGGATTGCCAGCTAGGAAGGCAATCCGAGTGCTTGCTGTAGGCTAAGCATTCACTGAAATGATATTGATATTTTATACCATTAAGGCAGAGCTATGCGAAAACGGGAAAATATAATTAGATTTGTTTAAGGTGGAATCTCAGCAACCAGATATATGTATTATGGTATAGTGAATAAATAAATGTTTTGTTTATCGCACTGAAACTATCCCAGGGTAAATAGCATCTACAATTCAGTTGAATAAATCATCCTCATTTTATTTATTACATTTATTTACAAACAAAAGTAGTTTTGTGAACTTCCTTCTGAAATATTTTAAATAAAAACAAGAGAGAACGCTATAGTCGGGTGTCCCGACTATCAGATACCCGTTACTCAGGTAAAGGGAGTGCGAGGGAGATGGAGATAGAAACTTTGATCACGCATAACTTTTTAACGAATGGTCCGATTTGAAAAATTTCTTCTACATTTCGATATGTATTGAAAAACACAATAAAACTGCATTTTTACTTTTCCGAAATATTTAAATTTTTAAAATCGTATATAAGCGATTGTGGGCGTTAAAGGGGGCGTGACACCATTTTGAAACAAACTTGCGCTGCGTAGGAACTTCTAACATCTACATGCAAAATGCCAATCTTCTAGCTTTTATAGTTTCCGAGATCTCAGCGTTCATACGGACAGACAGACAGACAGACAGACGGACAGACAGACGGACAGACGGAGAGACGGAGAGACGGACAGACGGACATGGCTAGATCGACTCGGCTAGTGATTCTGATCAAGAATATATATACTTTATAGGGTCGGAAACGCTTCCTTCTACCTGTTACATACTTTTGCACGAATACAATATACCCTTTTACTCTACGAGTAACGGGTATAATAACTTTTTTAATTAGAAAAACGATTGCAAATGTTGTTTAAAACAGTCTTTTATTGATAATGCACCAAATTTTTCCGTAAATATATTAGAGTTTATTTACGATGTTATAAGTAGCCATCTGAATTAAGTTGTTAATAATTAAAAAACAATAAATAAAAATTAAATAGTCATTGAATGGGATGACTATTGACTAATATATCAAGTATTTGCCGTTTTCGCATTGGCAATTTAATCGGATAAGTATTTATATAAGTTTTTCGTGTTGATAAGTGTGCATAATTTTATTGTCGTTTCCCAAATTTACATACTCCGCCTAGACTAAGCTAAAAATCTTTTAAAATTGAGAAGTAAGAATAAGTTTGTGTAGCTGGTTGTGGAGCAGTTTAAAATAAAAAGTTACTAAAGTAAGCCAAAGACTTAATCTTAAAGTTCAAGGAAAGACTTTGAAGGAGCAAATAAAATATTGTTTGATAGATGTCGTCGTAAATGAAAAACATTTGCAAGGAGTCGCTGAAATACAAAATAAAAAAAAACATTTAAAATTCCAAAAACGCAAATTATTCCATTGGAAATAAAACTTACAAAGTATTCAATGAAAAAAACTTTAAATCGAATTAAATTGCAATGTGATTGTAAAAAAACTATTAACAAAAAAGTGGAAATTTGCATACTGATTCATAACAATAATCTTAAATGAAGCTTAATTAACCGTGCATTTTTAATTTATATTGAGGTAAATGTTTTTAAGCATAACCGGGCATTTACTTAATTGTGCATCCAATAAAAATAATTGGATTCAATGAATGCTAATGAAGTAATAAAAACGTACTTTAATTGTTCACGTAAATCTTAAATAGTGTCGAAAGGATAGCAAACAAATACAATTACAATAGATTTTCTCCTTCATTGTTTGCTTAAACCCAAATAGTTGTACAAAAAAGATGTTCAAACAAACTCACAGTAAACTAATGTTAGTATTTATCATTGACTTGATTATTGTAAACAATAGCCGGAATTATCGTTGGCAAATGTGGGAAACCAACTATTCCTACAAAATATATTTGTACTTTTGAAAGTAAACATAGTCTAATTAGTACATATAGAAACTTATTGACATGTGTATTTATTAATTGTCCAAGAAATACAGGAATATGAAAGAAAACAAAAAGATAAATGTAATAAATTTCAATTTTAAGTGTAACTTGATTGAAAGCTAAACGTATTTGCTATACATAAACGTAAGTGGAATTTAAGTGCTTAAAAACTGAAATATAAATAAACAATATTTTAAATGATTTCACAATCTCCAAACGATTTTTTCCCTTCCTTTAGGCAGGTACCAAAAATAATTGTTGGATTATTTTCACAAAGAACTCTTTGTTTGCCCTGATTTCATGTTTCTCTGATTGCTTGGTCGTGCATGATATATAAAAATATATATACAGGGTTTTCATTTCAAATGGAGACAAACAACAGGAAAATTGTCCACATAAAAACAAAAACTATTTTCATGCTTCGTCTAATGTGCAACCATTTTTGACCATTTCCAACATACACAGGATACAAAAGCAATATAAAACGAATGGGAAGTAAGGTGGTGCTGGAAAATGGCCAGAAAATGCAAGGAAAAAGTCCAGAGCTTATTATGAAAACTGTAGAAAAACATAAATGAAGGAAAAGCAATGGAAGCAACATAAAATCTTTAACTGACAGGCAACGGAATTGTAGTGGCAGGCATGAAGACAAAGTGGGAAAAACTTCCCACAGGACAATGACTTGTTGGGCAGATTTCGAATTATAAATGTAGGAAAGTTAAGTAAATATAATATTAAGCATGGTAAAATTACAATAAGATTCAGCTGGTTATTTAAAATTACTCACTTAAAGTTCAGTGAGTAGTTTAAGGAAGACGAGTATGCCTAAGCTCATTTAACTTTGATTTTTAAAGTTTGTCATGGAAAATCTTAAAATGTACTACACATGCCATAAAGAGAAATAATATATTGCCCTTGAAACCGGTATATTCTTTCAGTGCCACAGAAAGATAGTTTTCCAATCGTTTTTCATGTCAGTCTCGAGTTTACTTGCACTTGGAGAAGGTCATGTACATAGGTGGCATATTGATGGCCTCCGAACTTCATTAGCAGGCATGGCAGGATCCAAAGCAGAGGAATTATGTACAGCCCGACTGAATGCTGATGCACAGAGCCATATGCCCGGGAACTTGGAGAGTTTTAATGGGAAACCGCAGACCGATGCAAATCCCCCTGCCAATCGACCCTCAAACACCCAGCAAACCAGCCAGTTGAAGTTTAAGGTCATGGCAGAGCTGGAAAAGCACTTACTATGGGATCGAACGGGCTGGCAGACAGACAACTTATTGCCATATTGATGGAAAAAACTCAGCTGTCAGTTGAATTATGATTGCTCTCTGTGCATTTTTAAAGTCAAAGGTGCGGAGGATGAAATATATTTATAGACGATTTGATATTTGTGTATCTATGGGGCAGACTTCAAAGAATTGCCCAGTAAATCGTGCATATTTTGACCTAATTTATCCCCAGCTATATACGAAATCAAATTAATGCTTCACACTTCATAAATCGGACACTGAAAATGAACAGATAAAAAGGCGCCCAGCTGAGGTAGATACCAATTTCGGGCAAAACTAAAAATACATTCAAGTCGCTTTATAAATACATTAGCACCTCAATCCGTCGGATAATGCCGTTGGCCAAACAAATACCACATTGCATGGAATACAAACCTAAATGGGAATCATTTAAAAAAAATAACCAAAGGCGTAGCCAGGTGGATCGTGCCAGACGCAAAAATAATACACCTATGATGCTAATAAAATAAACATTAAATCCGAAATTAAATGAACGATCAAATGGGAAATTTTGTGTGGTACTTATTAAAGACTTTGTTGTTCGGTGGCTCGATTATGTTGGTTTATAACTTAGAGAACTATTTTAAATGAGACTTTTTATTGATTTCAATCCCCTTTTTTAGATCCTCAAACTACTTAAATAAAGTACACATTTTATTTAAATTTGTGTGCCAAGGATAGGAAATCGTTAGGAGCAGCCACAAAAGCGGTTAGGCAACTTTATGCAATCCATAATTTCCCCACTGACACTTGCAGCTTTTGAGGTGGGCGGATAAGGGGGGCGTTTAACCCTTTCTTGCCTGATACAGCAACCGAGGAAATTGCGCAAATTTCGCCACCAAATTGAAAAGTTCTCGAGCGTTTTCAGCCACTTCCCCGGTCCTCTTGTGTGCGCTCCATTTGGTTGTGGCTTTCGCTCTCGGTTTATGTTTTATGATTTTTCCTTTTGTTGCTGCCCGATGATTGCCACGATTCCGATACTTGGCTGAGCAAATTGAAAGTTTTTCCGCAATTTTTGTTTTGTGGCCACTAGAGCGTTTGCCATTTTCGCACACTAAAACTATTTCCATATAGCCCTCTTACTTCTTATCCCACTTCGTGGCATTTGCAAATTGCTGAAAAGTCTAAAGTCGTTGAGTTGGACCGTACATTCTCAAGGAGCTGTTTCTTTAGTTATAGTAATTGGTCCGAAAATGCATTTCCCATCTAAATCCTTGGCTTCGATATAAGACCAGAACGTGGCAACTTTCAATGGCTGAGAAACAAATTGGATAAGCCTTTGTACGGGTAGAATACTGAGGGCATTCAAGGAGACGTAGAAGCGGCCCCAAATGATTGATGATTAAGTCAGCTTCCCAAAAAGTATTAACAGCAAAGGATACAAAATATATTGGCAAGCAGAGCCAAGTGACTGACGGATGCTCTTCAGATGATTTTAATGAAAAAGTAAGACATTTAAAATAAATAAAATATTGTATTGAAATTGTGATATTGTTCATAAGTATTAAATTCAATTACAATTCACTTGTACTATTAAAACTACTTCAAGCTCAGTAAGCGCAATTAAGTATGATTTAAAATAAATTATGTTTTTAAAGATTTTTCATGTGTTAATTGTTTTATGTTAAATATTTAAAATTGTCAACGT